ACACCGTCTCTATTGATGGAATACCGTGCCACATAAAAGATGTGCGTCCAGCGTGTGGGAAGGATTATTCCGTCAGCAACCACGTTAGTTCTTCTTCTTCTGATGATGAAGCCTCGATGGTATATATAAAATCACAGGAAGAGCCCACCCAGAGAGAAAAGCGCCTGATGAACCTATCGGGATGAGCTCAGCGAGATGTCTGAAGAGAGCACCACTGAGGAAGCGCTTGAGACCATACCACTGAGACAGAGCACCAGGCAGAAACGGCTGTGTTGTCGCCGGGCACACCTTGGAGTACCATAATGGACTCGACCGAAGACTACAAGAAGAAGACGCGCGAGTCGTTTGGCGTCTTTTCATGGGCGACAAAAGCCGTTGCAGTCGGTTGTACGATGGCAGCAGTCTTGGGTGCTGTTTTGCTCGTTTGCTGTCATAAAGTGTTCATTCGAAAGAGAAGGCGTTTGTTTCAGGTTCGCAAGAAGGCGTTCGTTTTTTGTGTCGCAAGAAATTAAGGATTTGCTGTTGTTCTGCACACTCTTGCAGAGGTGCCAACAAATTTTTAGAACTAACCTTAGAGATGCAACACGTTGTATCATTCTATCAGTAAATAGTAACTTTGCTTCATTGAAGACATGCTTGCACTCATTATGAGCAGAGACAAAAGTGATGTCTGTTGCAATCAGACATGTTGCTCCGGTACAGACAGAAGAAGTGATTCCTATGGGCTATAGCAGCTGAGCAAGCAGATGAGAACCAAGGAAACGAGTGCAATTTAACTTGGTATTTTCTTGCTGGGATGAAAACCTTGATGCTGGCTTTTACCTAAGAGGAGACCTCAGATTCGCATTTTTGAACAAGATGATTAAAAACCACATTCCAAGGGATGCTGCAAAGGAAATCACAGAACAAGTCCCAGTCTGCATGTTGATAACAGAAAGATATTCTGCTAGTAGGAGGTTCATGGCTGGAGATGTTAAAAGACGTTACCGCATGATCAAAGTTGCCAAGATGGCAGAGCTGTGTAGTGCAACAAGAGTCAGAGACAATTCAATTTCAGCATGTGCTTCAAAAATAAAAGACACCCTAATATATATATATGTGTGTAATATTGCAACAATAATACTCTAAGCAGAAAGACATCATCCTATTTATTGTGGTTTAACTCATGCATATATTTTGATAAATTACAAGGAGTACCTTATTCTGCAGGACTGAATAAAAAATAAATGCAAATTTTAAATTTGCTTACAAATGCTTAATAAGAATTAAATATGTATTATCACAGCAACTTAATAAAGGGTCTTCAATATTATCTTAAAAAAAAAAAAAAAAAAAGTTTTACTGTCTAAAATAAATTTTTCACTACTAAAAAGTTTAATAATTTCTAAATAGAATCAAAAAGGGTTTTATTTTTCTTAAAAGAAAAAGAGTAAAAGAGCAACAACACTGTAAAAACATACCTTGATTTTTTTTTTAACGATTAATCCAACTAAAACATGATTATTACAATATTATGATACGTTTCACCAACTCACACAGAGGTAACGACTAGACATTCCCCACATACGTAGATGAGAATATAATAATCCGACCAAATACAAATTATTGCAACATCTCACGAACAATAAATGAGGGTGACATTGATAGACATTCCTCTCAAACACATGCACACACACACACACACACACTTAGATGGATTAATGTTACTGTCGAACATATACCTAGACACAAAAACATTTTACATTCACACTCTTACACTATCCCACATTTTAACAAACAAAATGTTCCTCACACATATTATTCATTGCGTTTTCATCCCCAAATTTTTTTTATTAATTAAAAGTAAAGAATGTAAATCATCATTTCTTTTTTTTTTTTTTTTTTCTTCAGACTGCTACCCATTTCCTGAAAATCTGCTCCAAATCATAAAATAAAAAAATGCAATAAAACTGACATTTAATTAGAAAAGCTTTTGTTTTATAAATAAGATTTATTAAGAACAATAGTCTTAAGAAAAAAAATTTTTTTGATGAATAATGAATTTTTAATTATAATAATTTTTTTAAATTTTACAAATCTTTTAAAATTCTACAATCTTGTTAGGTGATATTATTAAGTAAAAACTATTTACTAATCAAAAATTGAAAAGCTTAATAAAAATCATTTTGCACCAAAATTTTTAAAATAATTTTTATTTTTTTTTTGTTTATAAAATATTATGTAATGTGGCCATTTTTGAAAGTATGGTCGACCATACATGACTATCAGAAAATAAGAGCGATGCAAATTTAAAGTCAACATTCCTATTCCAACATTTTTAAGATTACTGATTACTTTAAAAATGATATAAAAAAAGGCGCTCACGTCATTTTCTTAAATTGTTTTACAGATAAAATCTCCGTAGAACAACAATCATTATGACACCGCCTGTCATCACCTCGTCAATTACGTGGGTATCACAAATTAGTGAAGTTTAAATTATGAATATTTTGTATGAGAGTTGGTGTAAATTTCAGAATAGTTTCTTTTGACTTTTTGATCTTTAATTGTATTATTTTCGGTAAGGTTCGTGATGAATTTTTTGTATGTTCACACTTGATACTGCATCATTTTTTTATGAAATAAAAGTAAAATACTCACGGATTTCTCTCTATATAAAAAAAATTATAATCGGGGAAAAAAAAAAAAAAGGAAAAAAAAAAGGCCCTCCGCCAAATAAAAAAATATACCAGTGATATCGATGCCCTCCCCAACAAATGTTCATTAATTCTAATAATCAATTCATTGCTTACCGAAAATTACATTTGAATGGTATAATTTCCTGATTTTTGGCAACAAAAAAAAAGAAAAAAGTGACACTATTTTGCTTTCATTTTGTAAAAAAAAAAAACCAAAAAAAAAAACCACCGATTTTTGTGGTACTTAGAGGGGCATAATTTTTTTTACCTTCCTTAGAGATTCCAGTCAGCGTTTAACAAACAAAAAACTGAACATTCAAAGTTATAGTTAATTCATGAAAATAATGTTATGAATCTTTTTAATTGCTAGCTAGCTTCATCTAAAAAGCGTTTTTTTTTTTGTTGTTTTTTTTTTTTTTCAGAGAAAAAGGAACCAACAAACATCTGCACGAATGGGGGAATATGAATTTGAAAATAAAATTTAAAAACAAAAAAGTAAAAATAAAAATGTGAACTCACAATTTATGGCCCCGATTCTAAACTTTTACCTTTTCTTTAAGTGTAAAACTTTACTGTGTAGTGTAAACCTTGATTGGAAATTTTCTCGAGCGTTCTCAGTTTAAAAAATTAAAATATGAAATGAATCTGTCTTTTCTCTCACTAATAAAAGAAATGTTTTTGCATTTATAAGATTTTTTTTACAATTATTTTTAAAAAGCTGGACGTTCGCACAAAGAAATGCAGCTTTGTGTGAAAATGTAGTTTTTAAAGATTAACCTTTTTATTTTATTTTTAATAAACCTTTTATAATTTTGGTAGATTACTTGTTATTGTAGGTAGAGAAATAGATCTATTTGTAAATTCAAATAATGACAGAACCAAAGAATATAAGACAAGAGTAGGTAAAAAAAATAAAAAGGTTCTGTCATTATTTTTTTAATTTACATTCATTACAAATATAGATCCATTTCTCTAGAGATCAAACTTTTACTTACATTGTCGATAAATCCTAATCAAGAACAAACTTTTGTCATTTTCGAAATAATCAGGCAATTTCGCACCATAATGGAACATTACCGTGGGCTTTTGGTGCTTATACTGCAAATTAATCGTAAAAAAAGTTATTTAGAGTACTTTAACTTTTTTTTTAGTAAATATTTGCTAAGAAAAAAAAAAAAACTCTCTCTACATGTCCGTTTCAAATAAAACAATTTTACCATGAAAAGATACTTTCATAAAGTTTCATTATTAAAAAAAAAAAACAAAAAACAAAAAAAAAACTTACATCCTTACAAAAACTTTGTCGTAAAAATAAATAAAATTTCAGTTTTTTAATTTTATTGAAAGTTTTTTTTTTATTGCATCGATTGGTAGGATGAGTAACTTCCCAGTTACAAAACTGAAAATTTAGTTATTTTGTAAAACTTCAGTTTAAAACATCAACCGATTGTTTATTTAACAAGTGGTTGATGCTGCTCGATCCTGCAAATCATGGATTGAAAAGAGAAGGACCAAAAAAAGAAATAATAATTGTGATTACGACTAAAAAATATTGCCAACTCCTTTTTCTTTTTTTAAATTTTTATGTTCCCTTCTATTCAGGTGAGCATGTTTATCTTCTTGTAACCACGAGTATACAGGAATCCAAAAGAGAAAGAATTCAAATTCCTAATCTATACAATTAGAGGACATTGAAACAAACGGTAATCATAGTCTAGTTTTTTTTTTTTTTTTTTTTTAAATAGAATAGACATTATTAATCGATATAAAACAATTTGAATAAAAAAAAAATTGCATTTTAAAATGCTAATTAAAAACATGGTAATTAAATTGGGTACACACCGAAGGACCAATTTCGATTATATATCTGATGAAATCGTTTTATTTCAGCTGTTAGTAAAATTAATTTTTTTTACTGAAGTTCTTTTAAATAATTCAATTTTTAATAGATAATTTTATATTTGATTGTGTGTGCCTAAATTGTAAGTTGAAAATAATGGATAAACATTTGATAGCTTCAGTTTCTTTTTAAGAACGCAAGATACAGATTTTTAACGTAAATAAGAAATGTCTACTTATTTACTAAGGGTTTCGCGCGCTTAGCTGCTTAGAAATGAGTTTTATCTAGCAATTATTTTACTCTTAAATAATTCATTATTTTAAGAAAACTTTTTAAAACAAAAATCAAACATGTCAATAATCATGCGTTTTTAGCGCAAAAGTTCCGACATACACAAAGAAACCTTCGACCCAACAATTTTCACCAACGAGCCCTTGCATGTACAGAAATACATCTAAAAGAAGATTAAATGAATGACTTACGTTGTTATAATAATTGAAGGCAAAATCATCAGAATCATCCGAATATTCATCTTCGTACCCGGCAGGAACAAAGTTCGCCATTATTATTGAACTAAGTTATGCACCAAAAAAAAATATTATCGCTATCGAATATTATTAAAATAAGGAGCAGGAGTATGAAATAACGTATTTTATCAGGTTTAAATAAATTAAAAAAATATTTATATACACATTATTTTGTGGTTTTTCCTGAATTTATAATACTAAATAAAAACACGTGCACAATTAAGTATTCAGTGCGGTCTGTGGGTGGTTCAAGATGGCCGTTTATTTGGAAAAACTACGGAATTTTATGACTATAATAAAACAGAATGGTGGCTGGAAGCAAGCTTATATGACCTTGTATAGGTGAGTTAACTTTATGCTTTCACTTAAAAATAATCTCTTTTTATTTTTCATTAAAGTCAATTTTAAAATTGTGTATTGACGTATGTTTATGAGTGTATGTATAACCTTCACGATACTGGGACCTCGTTGTTTGTTATGGTGTATAAATCATTGTAATGTAGTTTAAAATTAGGTGCAATTACTAGTTCTTCTTCAACGATTAGAATCATTAGTATATGCGTAACAGTTTAATATAAGTTTTTTAAATTTGAAAAGAACTTTCGACAACATTTTTTAAAGTGTCTATTATTGGTAATAAAACATTCATTTCCAAGGTCGTCGCAAATTGTCTGCTACTTCCAGTATTCTGCTTTCTGTGTTCCTCAGGACGTATGCGATCTTGGCTCTACACAATTTCTTGTCCTTTCTAGCTCTTGACAAATTTTGTGGCGCCATCCAATCCCTCAAGTTCACTAAGTATGTTTTTAAAAATTGCATTTTGAGATTTGTGCCCTGATCCTTAGCTTCTTCTTTCATGTCTGCTCTGTTAGAATTAAGAAAATAAATGACAATTATGTACCTCCAAAAATTCGTTAAAAATTAAAAAAAAAAAAAGATCATAATAAAAACAAGATTATCGTCAAAATCTTTGTTATTCTTTAACGGAAAGAAAAGATCAACGGATTTTTTTTGCTATAAAAAGAAAAACTCATTTGTAATCCTTTTTTTTTTTTTTTTTTTTGAATCTTGGAAATTTTGGTAAATTTAAATTATTTTTCTGTATTGCATGTTTATTATAACAAATACAGTCTGTTTATTTGTTATAAGGACGAGTCATCAGAAACTTACATCATCAATTTTTGGGGGCCAGGAGAGACAGATCAAACAAGACCTACTTACCTGAATGGTAAAAAAAATAGAACAAACTTTGTTGTTTTTTTTTTGTTTTTTTTTTTTTGTTGTTGTTGTTTTTAGCTTTTTAAATAGAAAACCTTTTAAATTGCTTTTTTGAATAAAATAAAATGTATTTAGTATTTAGGAATACAATTGTAATATTTGTTGGAGGGTCGGTGAATAATGCATTCTAAAAGTTTTTTTTTTGTTTTTTTTAATTAGAATAATTTTTAAACTTTTAAAATTCTATATTTATTTGTAGTGGTTAAATAATATTGCGATTAAATTAAAACTCTTAATATTGCCTAATCTTAAATGGGGAAAACTCCCTATAGTTCAACACCAACCCCGCCCCCTGGATTTAAAAAAAATAATTTGTTCTTTGTGTGTATGTGTCTAAATGTGCTGACTTTTGTAAATATAGACACCCATATACGACATTTAAGAGAGGTACCCATAATGAATTAAAAATTTATTCGTAAAAGCCTCTAAAATTCAATATTGGATTGCTTAAAAAATTTCATAAAATTTTTAAGATTACTAGGTAGTTAAAAAAATTATATTATGAAAAAAGGTGTTCATGTTGTATTCCTCAATTAATTTGTAAATTCTGTCTACCTTACTTAAAGATACAGTAATAGTTTTATGCTGGATACCAAGCCATATTGGCATACAAGGAAATGGAAAAGCGGACAAAATGGTCAAGGAATCTTTGAACATGGCTCCCTCTAAAGTAATGTTGCCTCACACGGACTTCAAACCCTGCATAAACAGGACCATTAAAGACAAATGGCAGCAATTATGGAACAACTGCAATAACAACAAACTTTTCAATATTAAACCTATCATCGGTAAAAGACCGACAAGTTCCAGAAAGATAAAGAGAGAAGAGATGGTTCTCGCGAGACTCCGTATTGGTCACACATTACAAAACCCACCAACATCTAAAATATGTGGTACCTCCAATATGTGTCCCATGCCATACAGTCAAACACATCCTACTAAATTGCCATCATCTCTGACGAATCCATAGTAAACACTAAAAATTGGATAACCTCAAGAATCTATTCGAAAATACTAATCAAAGTAACATCATAAATTTCATTAAAGAAATTGGGATCTACAGAAAAATCTAAATAAATAAAAAAACAAAAAACAATGCATTTTTGAAAAACAAATATTACCAACTATATATTTTTGAAAAAAAGAAAAATATATATTACCAGCAATACATTTAAAAAAAAAAATATTACCAACAATAAAGTTGTCAGCATTAAATGACCCATTGAGGTTGATATGCCATAAAATCAAAACAAACCAAACCAAACTACTTTACTTAACTTTTTAGCAAACCTGAGGTCAATAAATTCCCCCCACCAAAAAAAAAAAAACACCCACTCCATGTTAAAAAATATTTTCTGTGACAATTTTTTTTTTTTTAATAAAAATATTTATTTCAATTCAGATTAATTCAACTTTGAATCAGCTAATTTTTCTCAAATAACATTTTAGTTAAAAAGTATATTATTTTTGACAAATTTTTTACTAAGTAGAATTATTTTGTGTTGACAGATCTGTCAATACATATGAACTTATCAATTTTAGTTTGTTCTTATTCTGCTTTCCATGCTTTGGGGAGATAACTCATCTCAGTTCCGTCCTGGGTATGACTATAAACTACATTCGTGTCCTGGGTAAGAGGATAAACTACATCCAACAGCAGGCCTCTGATCAGGAGACTTCAAGGAACATAGAACCACCACTTAATTGTTGGTGTTCCCAGGTCCACCCTGACCCAGGGTGGTACCACCTGTTAGGTCTCAGCTATGGGCAAATAGTTAAACCCCAAACTGGGGTCAAAACATTATAAAAGTGTAAAAATAGGTTTTATTACCAGCAATACATTTTTGAAGAAAAAGTATTACCAGCAATAAAAATCTTGTCAGCATTAAATAACCCATTAAGGTTGATATGCCATAAAACAAAACTCATTTCAGTTAATAATACTCACCAGTCACCCTTGTGCCACATGTCCATTTCTTGTACTTTACCATGGTATGTGATTTTACAACAGGACTAGAACTCACAAATATCAGATAACTCTATATGCTTTAATTCACTAAGTCATCTTGGTGAGTATTCTGGTCTCAATATAATGATAATTCCTCTTCTCAATTTCACAAAAACCTTTGCTTTAGTTTGAGAATTGATGAATATTCAATTATGGTTCAGTATTTGAAGACATACAAAATGGTAATGATAATATTAGTGGTTTCCTTATAATGAAACCTTCAACACTGAGCCAGCAGCCAGTGCTACTGTTGATTGAAACTCATAAAATCTTTCTCTTAAAACAATTTTTCAAGAAAACAGTTTTCTCAAGTCAACTAACTTTATGCTTTCTAGTATTGATGGGGGTTTCCTTTCTAACCTTTTGTTTGAAGTAGTGTGGTATATTAATATCTTAATTATGACATTATTTTCCCTTAATGTGCTATCCATGTTTTGTTGTTAAGTCCTCAAGTGATGTGATTTCTGTTATTTAGTGCAGTTCTTTGTTTTTGATTCTGTAGTGCCAGTCCAAGGTTAGAAGAAAGATGGTCCTCACTGAGATTTACATGCTTCACTTACTTAAAGCCATTTTTATCCATCAATCTGAGAAAGCAGTTGTATATAGCTGATAGTTTAGATATTTCTGAATGAATTTGGTGCCATTAATGGCATCCAGATGAAGTCTCAATCTGGACTATTTAAGAACATGGCTTGGAATTTTAGGTTAATGTTTTGGTTTTGTAGCAATTTGCCATGTTATGTGAAACTACCCCTAGCACAGCTTATTCTATATTTAATTCATTTTTAAAATATTGACTAAGTAGTATACTGCTTTTTTTCTTCTTTAAATTGTGAAGGGAAGCAATAGTGAGATTAACAAGAGATCATCTCAAGGGAAGAGAGACAAGAGAAATGAATGACAGATGAAATACTGAAAGTAAAAAAAAAAAGCAGCAGATAATGTCAAGGAATAGTGCACAAGATGTTGAGCAAAGAGGCAAAGAAATGCAAGCAAGGAAAATACGATTGACTCAATAAGAATGCAGAGATTGAAACACTAGAGAACATAGGCATAGCAGGCATGCATAAAATGATAAAAAAACAGTTGGACAGAAAACTTGCTCCTTAACAAATCACATACAATCTAGTGAGAGAGAGCACACATGATAGAATATCACAAGGATGAAACAAATACAGTGGAGAACCCTTCCACAACAACAGAGGAGAGAAACCTACAATGCCTAAAATAATGCAAGGACCAGTAATATTAAAATCTGAGGTAAGATCAGCACTGAACTAGATGACTAGAAACAAGGTAGCAGGATTGAATGGGATTGTAATATAGATGCTATCAATCTTAGACGATTTCAGAATCGATAAGATAATTGAAATAATAAATGAAATATAACAGTAGTGAAATAGAAGTCCTTAGTAAATATATTTTCATAGTAATGCCAAAGAAACTGGGTACAAATAAATGCAAGTTCCATCAGACAGCTTAATTCATTTAACTAAACTTAAGATGCTAAGGAACAGAGTTCCTATCAGAATTAAGTAAGAAATAGAGCAAGAACAGTGACTTTATTTAAAACACTGGAACAAGAAATGCCATATTTATGGTCAGAATGCTATCAGTGAGCAATACTGCAATATACCTATATTTCATAGATTACACAAATTAATTTGATAAAGTACAGTACCAAATACAGACTTGAAATGCTAGAAAAGCTTGATTTACACAGTAGAAAATATCAAGTAATTTACCTGGA